GCATCTAAAGGATTTCTGCGAGTTTCTTCAATCGCAGAGTGATCATTTTGTGGTTGAGGGTGATCGAGTTCGGCTGAAAAATATGCCGGAACCTAGTAATGCTGGTATTGAATTGGATGATGAAGGAAAACCCTTAGCCGGTGTCAAAGCCAAACAAGCAGCTGTCGAATATCTTAGATCCATTGTGGAGCAGGTTTTTTCACTTATAGCCTTCAAAGGTTTTTAGATATTTTAAAGCATAATATGGATTTTTCAGTTTATTATTGCGCAGTTGAAAGCGGTGGTCATTTACGACTTACTTTTTAAGAGTTATCAGGATATTATTAATTTCTGTTCATTGGAAGAATTATGATGTGTTTTCGTGCGGAATGTAAAAAAGTTCAGGTGCCCAAAAAGAGCTGCTTTTGAAGAAATAAGTTCTTTTGTACTTTTGAAATCGAAAATGAAAGCGTTACCCATAAGTAGTAGTGGTGGATTGCCCATATAATGGCTATGGAAATCTCGACTTGCAGAATGATGAACAACCGATACCAATGGATGCATTCTATCAGAAATTTTGCGATCGTTTTTCTCATACTGTCAGACAAGAAGTGGCAACCAATCCGAAGGAATTATTGCAATTCTTGAAGCTTAATCGCAATGTATTTTTTATAAGATCCAATAAGGTTGTTTTTGAAGAAAACTATTTATTTTACTTGTTTTTTGGTTAAGAAGTGCAAGAATTTCCTTACCTCGCTGTTTGCTACTTTGCACCGTTCTTTAGCTTTTTAATGAAATAATTATTTAGCCAATTGTTAGGGCGAAGTTTCCATCAAAATTGCGGAGTATGATATGATTCAAGATCTAAATTTTATTTCTTATTAGGTTTCGCTTGTGAAAAATCGCGCTTCAGAAGGTGGTTCAGAAAGTGGCTCCACTGAGAGTTCAGAACTTGAAAATAATAATAGCCATCTAAATCATAATGCTATCAATCGAATCAATCTTGTGAAAGCTTTAAAACCTGCGCAGGTACCAAGTCTTCTAATTTTTCTTGCAAAGCCAATCAGTGACACTTATAAGCTTTTGTCAACGCAGTATTCAGGTCTTGTAACTTAATGTAGTTAGGCTCTTGGAAAAATTTTTCAGGAGTCTGTATCATCGGTAAACACGGAAATTGATAATATGGAAGAACGAGTTGTTGGTGTTGATTTTAAAACTGTTACTCTTGGCATACAAGGAGAAGAATTCCTGTCTATGATTGTATTGGCAACAGCCACGCAAATCGTTGTTTTCGATGTTGTTCATAGCGATACCATATTATTGGAAAGTGGTGTTAAGGAAATTTTAGAATCTGAGAAAATTATTAAGGTATATTTTATTGTACTTTCTCCACAGAGATTTTCTATATTTTTTTTTGTGGAGTTCCATGTAATCATTTTGAGATGACTAGATTTTGTGATACAGAAATGATCAGCCTTGCTATGGTTCGACCATTCTAGTATTGAAGTGTTTGGGAAATATTAAATCACTGAAGAACCGTCCCAAAGGTTTTAATCAAATATAGAAAATACTGTTTCGCTATTTCATGTTGATCTACGAAGTTCAAGTAGTCCTAATCATCAATCATCTACCGGTAGATTGGGTTTGAAAGATCAATGCGCAATTCTTTCTGCTTGCGGTTATACCATCATTAAGGGACGGACTATACCTGTGCCCTCTTTGTGCGAATGGTCTTGATGGTTAATTTACTGACTTAAGCATGAGTGTAAATCCTACGTAAACTCTTCTTATATGTTTAGTTTCCCAGGTAATTCATGATGCCAAGAGAGTGGCCACTTTGCTAGCTCATCGTTATGCTATCAATCTTAGAAAAATCTTCGATACACAGGTAAGCTCATATTTTAGTTCTGTTTCAATAGAAATTAGTTTCATCTAGGGACAAATTACAAGAACTGTTTTGCTCTCTGAAGTTTTATTAACTGTAAAAAATCGGTAACATCTTTATGTTCAAAATTTCCTGTGACAGATAGCTCATGCAATATTGCAACATGAAAAGTTTGGCAAAGCTTTGACGGATATGCATACAACGTCGTTCTTAAATCTTCAAAGGGTTTACTATCCACAGTCAATCATGATGTCAGATGCGACACCCAGGAAACTTACTCAATCACCAAGGTTCAAAATTTGTTATTTCTCTGTATTTAAGGTGTTAATTGTTCATAGTGATGCTTTTTTCGGTAAATTAAGTCACAAAATTGTTTCAGTTGGGGCCTGAGGCCGATAACGGAGGATTTTCTAGAGACTGTGGTTGAGGAAGCACACTGTCTTGTAACGGTATTATATCGTATGATGAGTACTATGTTGCCGAAGCATCTTCTAGCGCTATTTGAGGAGAAATGTCTAAAGGCGTTAATACCGAATGCAAATCGGCCACCACCAGCAGTATTTCAAACCAATGATACGACTCCATTTAGATCAACAAGAAGAGGGGTTGCAACACCGACTGTCAACAATGTCACCATCCCAAATACTCCTTCACCAAGACAAGTAAGTGATGCCTCAACACAGACATTTTCCACCGGCGAAATCAATGTTCTTAGTGTGTACTACGATAGTTAACTTCTTTTTATTGATTAATCGATTGATCAGCCATTTAAAGTACACTCAGAAGACCAGTAATGAATGCTCATCGTCCTGTGTAATATTACTGAAACTTGTGATATGCTGGTATTTGCGGTACTAACACTACAAAGTACTGTTTCTCATGATATTGCTTTATATAATACTTTTCTAAAATTCAATATAGCTGATATTTCCCAGAGATTTTTCTTCCAGTTTTTTTACTTTTCTTGATTTACTTCCTATGATGTTTCGGTGTTCTTATCATGCATTACTCACTACTTGCTCTCTCCTTTTTGTATGCATACTTACCATCTCCTTTTTCATATTAAAACTGTGAAGTGTTCAAAAATCGAGAACTTCTCTTAGTTTTGAAGTATAAAACGAAAGCTGTTCAAATACAACTGATATCAATCTGCCCACAAATTATTTCAATCGTGTTGAGAAGAGATACGATGATATAGCTTTACTAGCAGTAATAGGAACTATTGGTCTTGAATTTAATGTTCAAAGCTTAGCTCTATTAAATTGAATAGTAACAAATTTCTTTGAATCTGAAGGTGAATGAGAAAAGCAGTCTTTTAGTAAAGTAAAAACAAACTGAAAAGTAATCGAATAAGCCGAAATCTTCGAGCAAGTCTACATGTGTTGTTACTAGCACTTTATGCTATAGGACTGAATACAGTTGTGAAGGAATAATCGGAATTTCCGTGCATGAAAAGCAATGTAATGTATCATGTACAACATCTAATCATGAAAAGATTGATGAAAGCAATATAGACAAGAATATACGAACTAGGTTGTTGGCAAGAGAAATATAAGAACAATTTGAGCGAAATATATAAATAATCAAAATGGAAAATACCTCACCATACTTGTGCTTTTTATTGTCCCCAACAAATAATATTCACAGACTATTTTATGGTTTAACGATCGAGATTCTTGTAATATTGCACTCTAATTTATCATAGAAAGTTGCATCTGATGAGAAGTTACCGATGCAAAATTTTATATCGCAAGACGAATGTTCAAATAATTCAACAGTTGAATTCTGCCCCGTTTAATATTCCTAAACTTTTATGAGTCGCACACTCTTAAAAAAAAAACAAGCCATGAGCTTAAAAGCAAGAATAGAATACCTCCTATTATAATTGCATTGTGACCTAACAATGAAATATCCGGTGTATCTCCATAACCAACACAATCACTTCAATAACAGTAATTCATCCATTTCTAATAATCACTGTAAATTTCCAGGTGTTGTTTGTTCAACGAGCCACATAACATACGAGTCCATTACAGTACAATGAAATTATTGGCAGATTGTTCATAAAGATTGATAAACACCTTTCGGAAGCTATTCTAACTCTTACACAGGCAGATCTTTGGTTGATGTTTATAAAATGATAGTGAGAAAATATATGAACAGTAGCAATAAAGTAAACAAAAAATCCATCCATGGTAGTTGCTTCTTACATATCAGGCCTTTAGCCTTTTCAGACTGTGGTATCCACTTTTTTCACTTCTGACAGCTAAACCATTTAAGAAGCAGCTCCATCATGACCAGATCGAAATGCAGAATTATGCATATGCACATAGCCAGGTTGACTTTCTCCGAGCAAGAAAAATTTTTATTCTAAAACAAGAACTACTTACGTCCTCTCCCCTAACAATTTCTTTAGCGTTACTAATGCGTAATATTACTCGAGTTGCACATGTCGTTATAAAGAACGGAGTTACGGGCATTTCTCATCAATCTTTCTATACTCTTGTTTCCTTTGTAAATAGACTAACAATATAACAGATCTTATTCCCAAAAATGAGAGAGTGGGAGAAACTTCTCTAAGCAATAGTTGTCACATTATTTCAACTATTCCGTCTTTTTTGAGCGATGTTTTTTAAAATAAAAAATCGTTTTTCAATATTTGGTCTAATATGAGAAAGATTTGATGCAATGACGATATCAGGAACACAGAGTAAATCTAATAATTCGAAAGTAGCTTAACATAACATTACAAGCTATCGATATCACATGGACTGTAATCGAAAAATGGTATTAGAAACTGTTGGAAGGCGATTTCTGAGCTTTCTGAGTGCTTTTCAATTAATAAACATGATTAAAAACAAATACTCGGCCTAAATCAACAAGTTTACTGCAGCAGACAGCTCTTCTCCTAAGAAAACAACCACAGATAAAAAGTTCGCGAAAAAGTAATTCGAACTTGAAACCTGACAAAAGAAATGAAGAGGTACTGACGAAACTTCTTCCAACAACTTCATTATTTCTCTCATATGCATCACAATCATTTTTTTTTTTGAAAATAACTTGATGAAATACAAAACAGTTCGCCAAATCAATGAAAAAAGACACAACAACATAAAGCGAAATGTCAATGTTAAAATCAATCCACGTTCCAACCATCGCATCTTATATAATTCCTATTTCGATTCAGTTCCATGATCCTTTCAATTTCTTTCCTTGTCAGCTTGATATCAACTGCCTTAAAAACTTAGCATTACTTTATTTCAAAAAAATATCCACCAACTGAGACGGCTGTTTACATCATCAGAGCAGAAACAAGTGTGAACTTTTCGAAGCTTTTAGGCTATGTTTTTTGATGATTTCTTACGTGCTATGCAAAAAGAAGTTTTGCAAATATTACTATTGTATGAGTTCAAGTTGCACTTAGAGAAACAAATCGGTTTTGGATATCAAAATCGCATGAAGCGATTATGCAGCGCTATTGAGAATGTCATAGCACTCTAAGCATGAAATTCGAAATCGGACAGATCTGATGTCATACCCTAGACTTTATTGCCCAGTTGTAAATATTCTAAACAGTAAATGTAAATATGAAAAAAGTGATCCAGCTTTAAAAAACACAAGATTGACAATCGGCGTGAATTGGAGATCAAAAACTTCTTCATCCTTTACATTTCTTTAACCTAATAAGCGATTACTAAGATTATGAAAAACACTCTATACTTCACAAAAAAAGTTCGATGTATAAAGCTAACCAATCATCAAGCCACAATTTCCTTAAATGGAAATATTTAAAAGTTATACCTTAGCGTTGTCAATCACTCGTTCTGGATTTGACGACTTCGGTATAATGCCAACACCAAGATTCAGTGCCCAAGCTAACAAAACGAGCTGAAACAATATATTTCTAGTGTGAAATTGCTTAAAAAAATATTAACACAATCTTAAAAGAAGTTCGTCACAAGTACTTGAAGTATCAACCTGGGGTGTTGAGTTATGCGCTTTTGCTGTTTCAACAACTACGAAATCAGACATAAGATCAGAATGATTTCTAGCCAGTGATGAATAAGCCTGCAAATTAGAAAACTTATACTCAAACATGCAAAATCATTAAAGCAGCTGTTGAAAAAATTCGTAATAGTTTTATTAAATCTTTTTTTAAAAGACTTTTGTATATTTTTTAAAAGACTGGCTTTGGAAATAGAAAATTTATTGTAAAAACTACCTGGAAAAATATCCCCTCGCTTTTGCAATAATCTCTTAACTCATTGCGGATGAAATGAGGGTGGAATTCGACCTGGTTTACAGAAGGCATAATTTGCCCGAAATTTTGAATCTCTTTAATATGTTTAACTTCGTAATTTGAAACACCTATTGATCGTATTTTGTGTTCATCTAAAAATTCACTGTCAACCGTTTAAACGAAGAAGAGAATATGGGTATGTTCAAACATGTACTTTATAAAAAACATGAGAAAAATCCTATCCTACCAAATTCCAAGACAATCGCATCTGTTTATGTCTCAACTCACTATGTTGAAAAAATTACCTTTTAATTTCGCAAGTTCCAAGTAAGCATCTTTACGATTTTCTGAATTTCGTGGGTCACTGTTTTTACTTACATCAGCTTTCGGATAATGTATAAGGACTAAATCGAGGTACCTAAATAACACTTTCATTGGTTCAAATTGTAGCTCTGCATGTGAAGGTGGAGAACTTTCTAAGGAATTACTCTGTTCGAAGATTCTCCAGTGACTCATCTACCATTTTTCTTGTATGCTCAGAATTATTTGTTTCGGCTAGGAAGAATTTCGTAGTAATGAAAACTTCTTCTCTCTTCAAGTTATATTTTGGGAGCAGTTTCTGAAATAACAAACTTTTTTCCGCTGCAACGAATGAAACTAAAAAACAATAAAAAATCTGAAGCTTCGAACATTAGCCATAATATAAAATTACGAAGTTCGAGAATATGCACAGTAGGAAGCACCCACTCAGGTCAACTGTTTGAGTCCTTGTTCTGAATCAACAAGAAACAAGGAAAGAACTTACTTGAGTTGAGCACCGTGAAGGTGCCCTTGCTCATTTACGGTGATAATGTTCAAAACATTAAAAATATTTCCTGATTATTGCAGATCGAAGCAGAGCGAAACATGAGTGCAGATTAAATTATAAACAAATACAAAAAGAAAAAAAACGCTACTTGGAGGGCAATGCCCAATTCTGGTTCATTCACGTAATACTTGGCTGTATCGAACAAACGGTAGCCAGCTTTCAAAGCAGCATCAACAGCCATAGTTATCGCATCCTGGCCAACAATTTTATAGGTGCCAAGACCAATCATAGGTATTGAGAAACCAGTATTCAATTTGGCACTACCACCGAGACAGTTCATCAGGAATCTTCTTTACGCTGCTGATATGTTTCTTCCGTCGTTTTCTCCGTTCTTTTCTTGCACTATTTACGGGCTTTAACTAGCAAAGAATGCCAAAACTGTCAGAAAATTCGTAGTTCCCTTGTCACTCCCCGGTTAATGGCGAAATTGGAAGCCGTATGAAGCTGAGAAAAAAAGAATATGCCAGTTTTCATCCACTAATTTCTTTTCCCTCACAAATTGGACCGTTAGTGAAGCCGCCACAAATAGGTTCAAAATTACTGGAATTTTCGAACTTCAAAAAACTCAAATAAAAAGAACAAACTTCTCGAAAAACCCATGCAATAACAGGACAATGTCACTACCCACTATCATAAAAGTTACGCTCACAGCACAATAACAAGATAGAGGACCCGCAGCATCGCTAAGGCGTCCCGTCCCATTCGTCACCAATGAGTTGCACACTGGGGTGGTTCGGCCGAGCTCTGGTGCAAACTTCGCCATAGATTTTTGCACGTGTTTTGAAATTGAAGACAAATTGGGTGGCTGAGGTTCTGTGCACGAGGTTTCCTCGAGGGCGAAGATTGATGTCTGAGGTTTAAAGGGAAGATCTTCAGTTTATTGGGAAATCGAAGTAGTTACTTCTGAAACTTGCGACTTTGATTGCGTTCTAATCTCATCGAAAAAAGTTTTCACATGGATTGTCTTCGACGGTTTTACTGAAAATACGGGTATGTTATCGTCTCGATACCACATTTTCTGCTCAGTATTAGACAGTATTTTGCACAATGCTCTCTCAGTCAAAAATTTTATCACCCTGTTCTCTTTCTAAGGTTTCTCTAAAAGATTGATTGCTTATTATTTGTATATTAATTTTTCGCACAGGATTTGCCTGTTTTATTTCTCGCACATCCTTTCATTTTGCGAGTTTGGATACAGGGAGGTCTGTTATGTTGATGTGGTGAATCCGGCAGAATCAGTTTTCATTTCGCGCTGCTAGTTGATTTTCATTGTTTGTTTACAAATTTAGTTTGCAAATTTAGTTCACATTTGATGAATTTGTGAAATATTTTCTGCTGCTTTTTCACGTAAACAGCAAACAAGAATAGAACTTCTGCAGAACAAAAGGTTTGTGTTAATTTCACCAATTGCTATGGTGAGCTGAATTACACCTTAGCTGCTTTCCACGTCGTAACAAACATGTGAAGTTCCTTTCGTAATACATGGACTGTTGGCATGAGTAATTTTACAGTGTATTATTATTTTTCAGTTATTATATTTGTCAAAATGGATATCGACGGCGATGTAAATGGCTCATTATCGCAAGCTCTTTCATGTATGGCAACTAACGATCGTGAAGTGCTCGTAAAACAGTTCCAACAAGTTCTTGGCGACAGCCATACTCTCTCAGCAGAAGCATGCGCTTTTTTTCTTGACATGAATAGCTGGTAAGCAAGGTTATCCTTTTTCGGATCACACTTTCAACAGTGGAAAAAATATATCACGTAGTAAAAATCTTGATTGTATTAAAAATATTTCTCTGAACTTTTGTAACGCAGAACTTTCTTCTGCAAATGTTAAAACTTGTTTCGAGCTTCAATTCAGGAATTTGCAAGCTGCTCTAGGAGCTTATTATGATTACGGTAGTGCAAATGGTACAGGTTCGCCACCTCCTGAATATGTAACGCAGCTACCTGTGATGCAGTTCGTGCAAGACGTCACAATAGGCGAGGTGCGTTTGATAAATTTGCTGTTCTACACCTTCCTCATTAATCTTACAATAATTTTTCTCTCATGTTTGCACTGTCATGGTAAACTTACCTTTCAAAATCCGACTTTCAGGGTGAAAGTGTCCCACCTTCCACACGCTTTACAAAAACTTGGCGAGTCCGCAATTCTGGAAATGAATGGTGGCCTAATGGTTGTTTTTTGTGCTACATGGAAGGTTAGAACTCTATTGGATTTCGTAGCAAATCCTGCTGTAAAGGATTATTTGATTGCGGGAGAAGGATCTTATTTGTCGTTATTTTCATTCCAGGAAAAAAATTGTGAAAATACGTTTGTTGCAGGTGATAAATTGTCGGATACAACTAGATCCTGGATTCAGCCTTTAGCCCCAGGGAAGGAAATCAACGTCAGTATTGAAATGGTTAGCCCTACGGAGAGGGGAATTTATCAAAGCAGGTGGCAACTAAATATTAATTCCGGAATTCCATTTGGCGGTAAACATTTCATCACAACATGCAAGTGTTGAATAATTTCCAAGTTAAAAGTATTTTGGATCTTTGCAATTATTTTAGTGTCTTTTACTTGGCATTGGCTACTTTAGAGTCCATATGGTGCATCATAACTGTCGATGATACGGGGATTTTGGGCATTACACAACAGCTGGCTTCTGCTCCACTGGGTTCATCTACTCCTGCACGAAGTGAGAATATGAATCCGTTTGGTGGAGTGCTTCCGTTTAACTACGCCCTGCAGGTCAGTTTGCTGCTATTTGAGTGCATAGTATGTATGTTCACAGGATGTGAGAAAATAGAATTCACCAGTCATGTACTTGATACCGATTATAAATTTTTTTATTCATTCAGCTTCAAAGAAGCAACTGAAAAAAACAGAAGAGTAATATACATAAAATGACAAAATTTTCTTTATTCCATCAAGATAAACGCTGCCAATACAGATGAAAATAGTCGATTTGAGATTTCCAGGCATTATCACTGCGACATTAATCATGTGGTTTATAACCAACAAAAAATTGACTGTGAAGACCTTTTTCTATTCCAAATCAATGAAATTGGATTCCCTTGTTCCATTTTTTCTGCAAAAAAAATTTTCCAGAATTCTACAGAACAGCCGGAACGTATTGAAAGTAGCATGGACGAGAGCTGTGATATGACTCATGACCAGGATGGAAACTCATCACTATACAATGCCGTTGTTAGTCGACTTCCACGGGTATCATTACTTTTTTCCTTATGAATTCTGAACGTATTGAAGTCTACGTTAATTATCACATTTCTCTATCTTCTGATTATGTTTTTGATGTCAATGACTATATTATTTCCTCGTTAATTTTAGGTTTGGTCAGTTAACAATTGTCAATTTTCGAATACTATCAGTGAGCCTATTGACATATCTCATATCGAGGAAGCTCCAGACGTGCCTCCATGTACACCATGTACACCTCCACAGTGAATTATACTGCTCACGACATCCATTACCTGTTTTATTTCGCAAGTATCATTCACTGGAACTACAGTAAAATTCCCGGCGTATGGTGATAGCATATGCAGGACTCTTTCGTGAGTATATGCTTGTTTTTATTGTATTGTTTCATCAAGTGTCCCACTTGTCGTGTACAGAATATTTTAGTAAGGAAGTTTTCTCAAAAGCTGTCATTCCTTTTGTTTTTAATAACGTGTTCTTGATTATAAAAGAAAGATTACATGCATCCCACTCCCATATCTTTCTTTTATAGTCAAGTTCATGCTCTAATGTGTTTTATTTTTCCGAGCGTATTTATTCATTTGCGTTCAAAAATATTGGTAGAAAGAAGCATATGTGGTACAAAATGTTTCGTTTGATATTGCTGTTAGATATCGACAGGAGTTGGGGATATTTGTAATTGACAGTTTTATTAGTTGTCTTTCAAGTCTGCTTGGCAGTTCCTTTTCATTACTGGATTTTACTCTACAACCAAACGTTTTATACCTCATTTTCGAGCGAACCATACTTTATGAGAGGTATTTAAAAACTAGATTCATGTATTGATAGGAAGATGAAATGAAAGATGAAATGTTTGAACAGAAAATTATATACGCAGTTTGAAAACGTTATGATTGGGAAAGAATTACAATAGAGAAATCAAACTCAATAGTGTTGTTTTACACTGTTGTTTACAATAGCGTTTTACAAGAGTTTTACAGTAATGTTGTTTTTACACTCAATAGTGTTGAAATTATGATGATCAAAATTAACAATAAAGGTGATAATAAGGACAAAGAAGCGTTTGATTTCAGTAGTAAAAACCATTTTTAAGAAAGGATTGGTTGAATTTCTTAAACCATATTGATTGTGGTTTCACAGAATTTAAACGACGAGTAAATTTTGGAAAGCTAGAACAGTAAGTATAAGGTGCGAGAATAAACTTTTGCGAAATTAGGAATATTAGAAAAATCAGTGTGCATGGTGATTGTAATGTGGTCTGCACATACTACATGATTTTTCGTCTTGATTGTCTGATGGATTTGTCTGAGTTGCTGTTGTGCGGGAACACATACGAGTCGAAAATCGATCCAGAGTTAGTATTTTTTTGTTGTTGGATTTGATTTCGTTTATGCATGACCGAGGCGCTGTTTTATACTACATTTTTCAGTCGCATATACTGTACAACAATGTTCTTCAGTAATATGATACATCAACTACAGCTATCATTCAACTTCTAAAATGAGTCCGGGTCCTTAACTTTTGCTCTGTCTTCACTCCGTTCTCCTGATATTATCAGTTTCCTAAAAATTTTGTTATTTTGCTACATTGTTATAGCGATTTAAACAGCCTAATGCATAAGTTCTACTAGTTTGATGCTGTTTGTTATAGTGAATATCTATAGGTGTTGCGACTGGACCGTGCCAAAATTCTGATTTGGTACAGTTACTGTTGTGCGGGAACATGTTCGTTTATTTTGAAGTGAATTGTTCTACTTGCACGAGTGACTCGTCTGAATTATCACTAATTTGGTTTCCCAATGTGTAATCAAATAACATGATTTTATCGGGTTTTTATCGCATATGAAAACCTATTGCATTTCTCAGGTTTGCTAAGTGTCTGGTTTGTTTTCTCCAAATCATTTGTATGGCTGAGGAGACTAAATGTACAGAACAGTAAATAAGTGATTAGAAATATTGGTACTAATATCAAAATGCCGTTGTATTAACACCGACGAGGCGTGGTAGATGCCAGCTTGTCGGAACTGTCACGATTAACTTCGCTTACGACACATATTCCTTGGTATTCGTTTAGAAGTGAATATTTCGATATTTACGCTGAGAAACAAAACATTATTGGGCAGCTGTTTATCTACTTTAATAACATGAACCGTGCTGTGTTGAATTTTGAAGATCTGTTTAAGACCATTTTATATCCTTATATTTTAATAGTATTGGAAATAATTATGAACCTATAGCCCGAAGTAAAATCTACTTTTTAAAGTGTATTAATATTCAAAACGAGCATGCTGCTTAATAATGGCAAGTAGAAGGGAAGTGCCATTTTAGAAACACAGGTTTATGATATGCACACATGTGGGATGCTAGTGTTAAGCAAATAAGCTTAATCATATAAGATTACCTGAAATGGCTGCTATTGGTAGAAAAAATTAGCAGGGATGCATAAGTGTTCAGGTTGATTAGTCATTCTTTGAAAATCAGTTCATTTTGTGATTGGAAGTGTCAAAGTAATATCTGTTGAACTACCGACCGAATCGTTTTGCAAAAAACAAATCATACTTGAGATTGGTCTTTCCCACTCATTCGATAGTCAAAGACATGCCCCTACTAAACGGTAAATGCGGTGCTTGTCGGTTGTTTCATTCTTCACGAATTCACTATGATGTTGTCAACAATTCGTTTTCATTTATGCTTTGATTCATTCAAAGGTTGCAACATATTACGTGTATATTCCGCAAAATTTATGCGGGATGCAAAAGTCGCGCTAGCCAAGTGGTTTTAAACAACATTGTTTTACAAAATACTTTTCAATGAAATTAATATAATCAAATTAATAGACATTTTAACCGTATTATACTGAAGCCAGATTCATAACGCTGTAATTTTCGAGTGAGAAAAAAAAGATGGTAAAGAGGAGCTTTATCTAGAGACAATCCGTATTGATGGAAAAAGCAAGGTTCCTTTCTTATCCAAGAATTGTTTGTACACAACAGGATGCCTCGTTTATTCAAGCTTTTTAGTTGATATAAACAATCACAGTACTTCGCGAAATCTAGTGAATGGTGCGATTTCTGAAATATTACTGCCCATATTCTTGGATCCATGAAAACCAATAAAGTAATTTTCTTCGTTTGCTCTTTCTAAGTAGTGATAATTTTTCAGTTTTCGCCATTTATAAAACATTAAAGTCCCTTTCTCGCGTTCATTAGTTTCTCACAGCACTGCGCGGAATGAAACTTCCGTCGTAAATCTTAAGGAACAATATCCAAACCAGATGATTCCTTCATCTTGTTGAAAAGAATACTTAAAGATCGTACGAAATATCGTAAAACTATCTGCCTTTGTATGATCATCATTAGTTAATACTCTTCGCTGTTTTCATTATCATTTCTTATAGCAAAAATAATGATGCAATAGATGGCAAGATTGTTCGATGATGTGTTTGTGCAGACAAAGGCAATATTATGTGAAGTACTGCACATGTATAATTTACCATGAAATATACCATAATTATTTCTTAACGCGTTCAAACTGATAGAGTTTTGAACGATGCATTGATGGCATAAAATGGTTCAGAGGAGTTCGAATAACTGATGCGGCGTTGACGTAACTATCAGCCGATGATAGCAAAACATGAACAGTAGGATGTGAATAGTGTAGCAACGTTCTTAATGCTCATAAATTTATCTTAGACAGAAGATCTGTTTGAAAGGAAGGAGACTGGAATTAGGCACATCGATATCTACATGATAGATAATATTGATACCGATAACCAGTTACAAATGCATTCCCATTCCACCCGTTGTTACCTCGACAACCCCAATCGTACAGGGTAGGAAATGTTGCATGCAACAAATTTAGCACACTCCCGTCCGTGGTTGTCTGTTTTGTTTCGTGTATGCAATAAGAGAGGTTCATGTTGCTTTGGTTTTGTTTCTTCTGATTTGGAATTGATGGTTTCGTAGGTTACCTCCTGTAGTTTGTGTATTTGTCTCCAAATGTTAGCAATTGAAATGGTACCTTAATTTCAACATCTCTTCATTGAAGTGCTAAATTCTATTTAATAACATTGACGAGGTAATTTATTCTCCTCAAATCATATCTTCCTTCATCTTTGGACGATGTCGTTTACTTCCTTATGCTTATAGACTGCCTCAATTTATACGCTGAAAGTATGTATTCTCACTTATTTTCATTCTTTTTTCCATGCACTATTAATTCTAAATGTACTATAATAGTGCATAGTATAGGAATAAAGGGAGTGCAGGCCTTATAATTATGTACTGAGGTGAAGAATTAACTCCGTCGTTTCTGGCTTCCCATACATATTCTCCTTATCACCGAACTTTTTCCTCCTTCGGGATCCTATGCATAGATATATATTGAGCTTGGTAATTATAGTGCATTTCATTTCAGGGCATGAGGTATTTTCACTGACTGGCCCAATGTTTTACGTTTTCTACGTGAACGAGGGTTCTCTTCAAGCTTTAGAAGTGTCTGTTGTACTTGGCTCGGTTCATAAACTGCAATGTGTTATAGAAGAAGTAACTCAGGTCCCTGTTGCAGAACAAGTTCGTTTTCGTTAGATCTTGAATTTACAGTTTTTTAAATAACTATAGGAGCACAGATTTGGAAAGTTCAGTTAATACCAATATAATAAAGAAAATTCAAATAATGCTCTGATTCAACTTTTGCTTCTTTCCTATGATGTTTCGAGTAGCGCAAAATTTTTGAAATAACTCAATCTTGCAGGCACTGCTTGTTTCTGGAGGAGAAGGGTTGCAGTCGGAAAAGCAGGTGTCATATTATCAAGGAGCTGGTACGGAGTCAAATCCACTGTTCCTGTTCCGTAAATTATATAAAGAAGATAGTCAATGTACTGAGCTAACAAATAGTGATGAATTGTGTACATTATGCGCAGGTATGATATATATGTATAAATAAATAAAATTAATTATATATATAGTCGACTATAATCTAGGATATCTGCTTCGCATTTTTTATCCTCTGATCATGTTATTTTTTTCTCCTTTTGCAAAAATAGGTTTCCGGAAGTGGCACACAGACACTTCAACGTTACTAAAGAAGTGTTATATACGCTTTATTAACGAATACTTGTTTTTCAAAGCTACAGTTTTATATTATATAATTTTAGCAAATCGAAAAGGTATTCTGCAGGTTTGTATGATGAGTTACGTGTTCTTGATAATGCAACAATATCAAGGCCGCTAATTACGCGCTACTGTGATGCTGGACGCCTAGGATTAAAAGTTGCTGAAAGAAGCTTGCAGCTTTGTGCACGTTTAGTTCAAGATCATCAACTTTTGCATCAGGTAAATTCGTCGTTTTCATTATCGTCTGTTACCTCATAATTTTATTACAAAATTTGTTATTACATAACAGATTCTGCTATTATGGGTACTAAATTTCTCGTTTTCAGGGATGGTTGGCGTTAATATCTAATCTTTATGATTCACGAACTCAAATCGAGAAGAAATCGGAACGTTTTCTATCTCGCTATGAACGTTTAAAAACAATGAAAATTAAAGCTGAAACCTTATTGCAAGATTTCGATAACGTGCTTCATACTTTGCAACAAGTTAGCACTCATGTTTTGTCATATAATATTGTTTTGTTCTGTAAGAGGTACTGCATTTGTAGTTTTCGCCATCTTTCACGGAATTCTTTTAGATCAAAATTCCCTCAGCTTTGTTGTCAAATTCACACAAATTGCAAGGATCATCGAAGGCTATTGAAGAATGCACACTATACGAGTATATTGCTCGTGCTGATCCACAAAATTCGTTAGAGGAGATGTCAGAACAAGTCAATATGCTCTTGTCTAAGGTTTGTTTCAACTATCTTTTTTAGAATTTGCACCATTATAGTTCACCAAGATTCTCACCATATTTTAACTTGCATGAGATGGTTTATGCTTTTTTTGTGCGTTTATTTAATTATACGTGCACACAAAGTGGTTGTGTGCAGTTTTGCATTCTACCATCAAAAAATTAAGTATAGGCTTGCATTGATCAGTAATCACGTTGGATACTCATCCAGGAATATTGCAGATCAATAAGCTCAGACACTTTTCAGTTTCCAGAATACTTTAGCCTTCTATCGTGATAGTATGAAAAGTTGTGCAGCAATTTCTTGACATTATATTCAACAAAATAATTCTAATTACAGACTAGCGATACCGAATATAAACAGGTGGTATCTAATATGAGGTATGTCAGTGAGAAAGTTAGTAATCCTGAAATGCGTAATATTCGTGGTATAAATACTCGCCTTACGCAGCTGGATGCAATGTTCCACAGTAAAGAACGTTAGTTCCACCATGCTTTCCTTTGTTGAATGTATATTTCATCTTTTAATTTGGTTCATACAGTCACCCCTTGTTTTGAAAAGATAAGTTAGTACTTGCAAAACATAGCTGTAGATTAAGAAGTAATATCTAAGTTATTTACGTACCTCATTGATACAACATTCCAGAAGAAACAAAAGTGCTGAAAGATTTATGTTTTGCCGTGTCGCAACCGGTTGTTAATCCTCAGTCTACCAGGGTAAAGTTTTGCTTTTTATTGATTGTCAAGTCATCTTCTCAAGTTTGTAATATAACTATATTTTTATTGATTGCAGAAGGTGAGCACTTTATATTACAGGATGTTGTGTTGAATCAGCGGGAAAAAATGTTGGAAGTCAGAAAGCTAATTGAACAGATGCAGAAAATGGGGAAAGCTTTTCAGCAATCCAAAATCGAGTTGCTAAACAATATTAGAACGAGACTTCGAGGATGGATATTGCAGGTTATTTTTGCGTTCGAATGTTCGATGTCGAAAGAAACGATTATACATTTCTCTTTGTGTCACACGTTATTCTTTGCCAGGATGCCAAGATGTTGAAATCTTTATTGGGTTAGAAATTTTCAATTTTTTAAGGAATGATTTTTTTTAACAATGAAAGAATGATTTTTTCAGGTCTACGATAGATTACATGCCACGAACAATCAGATAATTTTATTTGAAGAAAAATATATCGCTTTGCGGAACCGACTTGACATCATCCGGCAAGTGAAGGAAAGTCCAATAATGTTTGCCACGGCACTCACCGAATGTCTCCGCCGAAGTGTACTGCAACCGGTTTGTAACCTGAATTTAATTTCATCAATGCAACATTACGGTTTTACGGTGCTATTTTATTACTTTTTATAGGAATTTGAATCGTGGTTTGCTTCATTTATGGAAAAAAGTGTTGCTTTGGTCACGGAAGAAACATCCGTACGCGAAGTATTCAAACAAAAATTAGGACGGCATTTTTTAAAACAGTTATTTCCGGGCATGTTCGATAATTTTCCGAACTTTGCTCCCAGTGGCTTGGCACATTTCGACCAAAACTTACCTCCCGTAGCTCCAGCGGATCTGAGGACTTTGAGACAGGTATGCTGAAATATTTTTGAGTAATAGTGCATGATTTCGTCATTTTTAGTTCAATTTTAATATCAATGAATTTGTTGTTTAGGCCGTTCCGTGTTTAGCAAATTTGCTAAGAGTGACAGATCCCTTTATTTATCAGCGACTTTCTGTCAGAGATCCACGACTTGCATCTTGTTCACAAATGACTCCTCCAGTTTTAAAAAGAGAAGAATCATTCTACACAACGGATGCTACAATTAACGTTGCAAATTTGAACAAAAACTTTCCGTCTACGCATTGGTTGAGGTAATTACTTAGTTTATTTAGCTACAAAAAATTATTTAAAATATTTTGGCTTGTACTGTTTTTTTCTTTTGCTTTACCTTCCCGGAACTTAACCATAGCAAATCAATTCCCTACATTTCCCGGTTGGTGCTTCCATTGAGCCTTAAAAATTTAACCCTGATTTATTTTTTCAATCTTTCCATTAGTTGAGGCTATCTATTACTATCTGCAGCGGTGACGAAAATTTGGATGCTTTACCTTCAAACGCAACAATGCTAGCTAAATCACCACCCTCACGATTTGGTTCTACGTTGAGTTTGGACATGGTGGAAGAATCTCCTGCAAAACCACTTAACTCACTTGCATCCCTTTTTGATGCCTCACATAATGGGGTATTGCTTTTAAATTCATAAAAATATTGTGTATCATGTCAAAAATTCGAGAAAAAAAGTAGTTTTAAGTTATTCAGCTGTATGGTTTTTTTATCGCTTACCTTCCTGGAGCTTAACCCATTTGAAGAAAATGTCTAAGCGTTATGATTGCAGTCAAGATTGTTTTTGTGCATACTGCTTTTAATACGTAGTCTGACTGTTTCTGTAGTCACGTCGTTGAGTGTTTCAATTTTTTGGATAGTGTTTAACTGGATTGTCAAGTGAATGAAAAGAGTGGTGATGATGAAGCTGCGATTTTGCACAAATATATTTTTCATGGTTGAAATTCAGTCAAATGTTACGATTTACTTGTCAATTTTAGCAAAAAGAGAAATCTAATCGAGTATCTGGTTATCATACAACTTTCCAAGAAAGTAAAGCAGGAGTAAGGATAGTAATCTTATCGATTTGAAATAGGATGATAACTTCGTTTTCATCATACGCATTGTCGTTTGGCTTATGGATAATCATTTTTGTTTAGTTGCTCATTCTTTAGGGAACTTTTATTCTTCTGAAATCATAACAAAGATATTCTCTCATCGTATGCTACAACAACGTTTGGAACTGCTGTAGAGCATGAAGCTGCTAATATGTCGCATTTTCGCTCTTACCGTATTTGAGGAAGGAGTATGTATGAAGCTTCCTAATCTCCAATAATAATATAAAGAATTCATAAGTCATGATCATAGTCAGCTTATATCGTTTTACAACATTGAAGCTCGACTGTCCCCATGCATTTGTTTTTTTAAAATGAGGCTATCTTGCAGGATTTTTTGACTAGAAATTAGACTACTTGAAAACAATACACAAATGTTGCTGATTTTATCTCATTTTACGAATTCATTGAGAAACCTAGTATATTAATAGCAAAATTACTTTTTATTCGCAAAATTTCAGAGTGCTGAAACTGAGGTGGAAATTGCAAGTAAGACATACACGAGACTGAGTGTTACAAAAAGTGAACCGATCGCGATACCTCAGAATAATGCATCTGTACTTCAGGTCGTTGCGCCATTAATGGAAGAAGGAAATTCAGTGAAGGTATAATGTTTATATCGTATGAATACTTTTGCATTTTGAATGTGGTGAACTTTGATGCGATGGAAGATTTTAAGTCCTCCTAATGTCATTAGCAGAAAATATCTATTAATTAAAATATTATTATAGTTAAAATCAGACAAATGTAGTCAATTTGGCACACCTGAGAATCTTAAGTTACCAGGGGTAAATTCATTGTAATACTGTGGTGTTTTAGCTCATATTTCTAATTACTTTAAATTCCAATCACTTTATTTATACAAAGAGCTTCGTTCTATAAGCACTTTTTTAATATCAATTCATGTAATGATCAAAGTGTGAGCTCTAAGGAATTTTCATTATGTACTCTAAGAAATTCCATTACAGATTGCTGAGGTGTTTGAAAGGTCTCAGTCTGGGAGCCTGATCTGTTTACGGAATGAGTTGAAGAGACTTTCACTGGTTAGTTTCCTATATATTTTATCGTTTCAGATAAGATTGTATCGTAATAGTCTTCATCATTCTTGCTATTTCATATAATAATTTTAGCAGTTGATGCACTTGAAACAAGAACTGATTCTTGCTGAAAATCAAGCTAAAGAATACTCGGATGAGGCATTAAAACGAATAAATAATTCGTTAATTGCGTATATTGGATACAGAGGCACAGTTTTTGTATCTGATCAGCGCAGTAAGCTTATTTGCAAGGATGCCGCCACTGAGACTGAATCAATGGATAAGCTGGAAGAGTCGTTCTCAATGGTATTTTGCATTTTAAGTTGTTGAACCAGCCAAAATGTCATCTATTTTATCAAAATTTTCAGCCATAGATGGATATTGGGACTTAGTCCTTGTCTTTTGATTTTATTGAAAATTTTTAAGCGAACATTGCTTAATTAATGTTATTCATAATTTGTTATTTTTATACAGTGAAAGTCCATTCATATGATTTTTTAGAGTGATGTTGAGGATGTGTTGGGAAAAGATGTTCTTGTTTCTGAACTCCGGCAAATCATTGAACTTCAGAAGAAGGAAATTTCACAGATTCGTGAACAGCAGTTAAGTGCAGAAAATACTGTTGCTAAGTACGTTCTCTCTTACTGTATATTTATTGTGATTTATTTTTATACCGAGAAACTTTTTGAGTTTTTTTTTTATTTTTATCAATCCCACTGGTTTCTCATTAATGAAAATGACCTGGATTTTCTATTTTGTTACATTTTTTTGGTGTGATTTTATTCTTACGTCAACTTTGCAGAATGGAAGTCGAAAGAAATGATATGTATAAAACTTTAGTTGTTGACTACGAGTTAGCACTGGAGCGTAAAGTTTCTTCTCACAATGAGGAAATGAAGGTTCGTATAATGTGCATGATTTTATGGTTAATAAGTTAATACAAAGTTTGAAACCAGTGAGTTTTAAAGTACATTGCTAGTTTGATTTGGAAGAGTTTTATTTATATTTAATTCTAGAGAAAGAATAAGGAAATTGATTCACTGAAAGCAGCGTTACATAAACTTCGTGAAAGCGTTGTTCACCAGAATGTTGAAAATACTGCAATCGCAGTTGCGAACAATGAGACCGGAACTAGTTGCGAGAGGGAATATAAGGTACTGTTCTTAAAATCTACCATTTCAAGAATGAGCAGTTATTCCTGTTTTTGCCAGTCATTCTGTAACACTACTGTTCCATTGTTATTAACTGGCAAATTTATTTCCTTCAAGTTTAAATTATTTAGATACGATGCAGTGATTTTTTAATTAAATAAAGATTTTAAACTATGGTAGGCAACTTTCAGTACTTGTCCGCTTTTGTATCGTTTTGTGGAAGCAGTTTAAAGTAAAAGACAAATAAATATTCATAGGATAAGAAAAAGCGTCATTGAGATGGCTGTCATATAATTAAAAATAGGAGAAAGTCTGTTTTGATTCCATTGTGCAGGGAAAGACGTAATGTTATGATAAATTTTCAATAATTTTTTAAACAAAGGATCTGAAAATTTCAGGAGAAATGCACAACTCCTGACGAGGAGATAAAGGAGAAATATTCGTAAGTTTATGTTTCGTAGGCTGCGTAAGTTTGTTCACATATCTATCTTTTATTTTGAAATAAAGTTCAGTTAGTTTTAATAGGCAGCAAAATTATTACATTTCAGATCTGAGTTGATTGATGCTCAAGAGGTTAGTTCAGCACCTAACGATTTATCCAAAGGATGTATCTTGAAGTCTTTTACTGTTAGCCATGGTATGGTTTTTTGTTGCGTTTGCTCCAATATTTGAAATTTTGTAAATCAAAACCTGTGCTGATTATGTTTGGTGTGCAGGAATGTCAGCTCTGATACAAACAAAATTTGTTCTAGTGTACTTTTAAGATACGTTCATGATTATATTCATAAACCGAATTGTTTCGTCTATCAGATGATCACAAGGTAGATAACGGTTTGGTCTGCTAAATATTCATCGTAAAACAGTACCGTGAGTATCCCATGTTTATGTCGAATGATAAAATGCTGCCCTTATTTTCTTGTAGTCTTTATTGATTGTTTATACTACTTTCTCCTAGAATGTTGTAATTTGAGTTGTGAATAGATATTCTTATTATTAATTTCTTTTTTAGCTGCCACAAGTATGACGGAATCCCTAGAAGTGAGGGCTGAAGAAAGAGATTCGGAAAAAGATGAGAATACAGATGAAGAACTGAAAGCTCAGGTGAGATGTTGATAAGTTTTTAAGTTGTGTGACCATGCTCATTCCATCTTGATTCTGCGAATCAGAGTGGAGTATAATTTGAAATACAGGGCTGTCTTCTGATTGGCGATATCTTTTCAGGCAGATTCGGATGAAGATATTGCACCAGTTACAGTGAGACCAGCTACTGCTCAAACAACTATATCACTGCGGGAGATGCGAACAATGATTACAGTGCAGGGCATTCACGAGCACTGTGCTGTTTTGATTGTTTGGAGTGAGCCACATAGCGCCTACATATTGTTTAGGCTAGTTTTTTTCATAGATTTGTTAGCACTTCTTTGCAACATTTATGGAAAAGGAGACGAACTCACTACTCAGTATAAACGTGGTCATTACATCTAACCTTGCCTGCTGATGTGTATTGCGTGCCTTCCTAGTTCTTAAAAGTACAGTTCATTACTGTGATGGACATTGATATGGTTTTGGCAAAGTATGATTTAAAAGACTCATTGAACAATTAGTCGAACAGTATGACTTTTTTATATGTTTGGAAAGGATGTATATTTCAAGTTTTAAGGCAAGGATTCATTTTTATTTGTGGCTATGAGATTTCTCATTTCTGCATTACCGTCACACTTTTCTTTCATTGGGTCAACTCGCTAATACATTATATAAATGATTTCAACATACTCATCTGGCTTGAAATCATAAAGAATAAATTTTACAAAATTTAGTAACAGAATGAAAAGGTTCGTGAAATTTACTGCTGGTCCATGTGGTAAATGATTAAAATTGCTTAGATTTTCCTCATAATGTTTCCGATATTGTTGAAATGCTATTGTGTAGTCAGGTCAAGTAATGAGTTGCTTCCTTTGACTTTAATTGCATCATCTTCATAGCAACAACTGTTACAAAAGATAAGTAGTCTAAGCCGTGATATCTTTTTTTGTAGCGCATTTAGTATACAGTCGTATTTCCCTGTCATTTAGTGACATATTTGGCATTCGTTCATTTCTTCGTCTATATCATGGCAAACTTTTTTCAGTGATCACTTCGCTTTACATTTATTCATACTATAGTTTCCCCTCTTTTCATGCCACTAGCTAGATATGATATACATCAGATATGTGATTGATGATACTTCAAAATGGCTTGATGTAATATGATATTGAAATTTATTTTTATTTTTTTAGATTTTTATTTGCATCCATTGCTGTTAGATTATGACATATTTCAGTGTTTCTCCAACATTTCACTTTGTCAAAGAAAGCAGTTTGAAACGCATGGGAGTAAAGTGGGACCGGCAGTCAGCGGCCGTCGCTGCGGTTGGTCAACGTCCTAACTGGCTAATGGCAGTAACTACTCGCCTGGAATTATGCAAAATACGTAAAACGGATAATCGGTAAGCGTATGTTATCGTTTTCATTACACGCAGTTGTCATCTAAAAAACCCAATAAAAAGGATGACTTTGCTCAGATATTAATTAATTTCACTTTTTCAGTTACAATTTGAAAGTCGGAACGAAATTTTATCGGGTGGAGGTGGAACCATTGCAGATGGACTCGTCGGGTATTCGACGAGTAGAGTTGTTTCTTTAAAAATTGTATTTTTATTGTTAAACATTCTCCGTCTGGTTTACAATTTGGTTGTCATATTCGCGATTACGCAATTCTCTTGGGTGTTCAGATTGTTTTTTTTCGTTTTGTTTCAATGACTGCATGATGTAAAGTATGCATTTGATAGCTACGTATGTTGCTTTTAATGAATTGACTTCACTGCATTCAAATTTCCTGTTTCTGAAATTATGCCAGTGTGTACGACACCATATAAAATAATTGTTCCATCTTATGATCCATTTTATGTATCTATCAGCAGATCAACGTATAATCATCGTTTAAAAAATGGCTGCATATTTCATGGATGTTTTGAAATGAGTAAGGGGAAGAATATACAAATCTCGATTTATCATGTATATGTTCATCGGATGCTCAATTTACATCATATTTGAATGTTTTATTTTACATTCTTCCTCAAATTATAATTCTTACGTGTGATTTTCAAGATTTTAAAATACAATATCTGCGAAAAAGTAGTACTGGAAATGTACCCTATAATAACAGATGTCTCAGACTCGAAGTGAAATATTTCCGATTCCATTCAGGCTCGCAAGTATTAAGCTTTCTTAGAATCAACAGGAGTTTGTAGTTCGACAAATTTCTAATTATTTGGATAAACACATTAGTCGAGCTTTGCTTGCAATCCGCACGTAGAAGGTATCAAAAACACTAAGAATCAAATCGGGTTAAAAATTGAGCGGTAAAAGGCGGTTCATAAAATTCGAAGCGGTTGCTTTCGCCACTAGCGTGTATTATATTTTGGGTGAAATTTTTAGCAATGCAAGTAATTTTACTGTATTCGGCTTGCATGAATTGCTTTGACCACGTAGCTTCAGAATCGTTAGATCCTTATGGTCTTATGAGGCTGTTATACTTGCTGTTGGGAAAGATCTAGGTTTTACGTTTTGTCGTATTTGATTGAATGTGTTTTGGATGGGATGAAAGGTAGCGGAAACTGGTATGGATGGATTTCCGTAATTATGAAGTGAAATTGGAAATGCAACTAATAAAATTTGGGGATGTCAAGTTTTTAGAAGGCTAAAGGCGCAAGTGATAGTACATGTTCAGGTGAGCAGAAGGAAGCTATTTCAAGAAAGATCAAAATTCAATACACAGGAAGTCCAATTCTCGCTGTACTGTGTTCGGTCCTGATGTTAAAATTCTCAATGCTTTCCACTCAATGCATTTCCTGCAACATAGATCCAAGTTCTATAAACCTTAAAGTAATCTGCCAGTTCTCACTACTGCTAAAAGAATGCCAACAATTCATTTAATCGTTTATACTTTTTTGTACTCTTTCGTTCCAGGTACATCTAGCATTATTATGCCAGTTCGCTTGTATTCTTTTTTTTCGTTTTTATTGCTCAAGCTAATAATTTAAAATTGTTTAAACAACTGAAGATTATTTTACTAATTTACAGTTTGCACTATGCACAGAGAAGAATAATGAATCATCTAAGCTATTTGTAAACTTCAGTAAAACGATATATTAATATCACCTTATGAGTTGCTGCGACCACAATGTACTTGATCCACTTGAACCTTTGTGAAACTAATCATAAATTTTAGAACTAATGACCATTCGCACATACTCTGACACTTTGTTAGCATAAATGAAGGTATTGCACATGTAAGTAATCCAAACTATTTTCTTTTATGCTGATATTAATATATCGTTTTACTTTTTCATGAAACTACTAGTTTTAAGGCAAGTGAAATATATATATGGTGAAGAACGGAAGGAGATAAACTTGTTTCTACATTTCTAGATCGAGGAACGCGATCTGACAGTGTCGGTGATTACCTTTATTGGATTTCCACGAAAATCTTTATTGCCAATCTTTCTTAATCGTAGTTTAATTGAGAATTGTGTCGACATTTGGGTAGTGTGAAAAGACCAACATTTGGACGGTGTAAGAACAGCTTTTTTTAACGGTTATTTCAACATAGAGCTAGTTGTCTTACATTGAGACGAGAAGATACTCAAGATTACAGTTCTAATTTTAACAAGCCCTGAATAATACAGCTTAATAATGTATGCAAAGATTTGTTTTCGTTGACTCACAACGTAATAGGGTGACCATCGCATGGTAAAACACCCAACGATGAATGTAATTACTTATAATGTTTTATGTGCTCTTCATTCAGCTTTCGTTTGCTTATGTTTTTGTTGAAGTTAAGGTCAGGAGTGAAAGAAGTGCGGAATATTATCTCTTATAATATTCAAATGCGAAAAAAAATTTACGTGATGACCTGAAACATACCTCTTAATATATTCAGCTATATAGGTAATCAATATATATTGATCACTATATTCAAATGTTAATAGAATTGTTTTCCATTGACAATTTTACCTCTTGTTAAAACGAACAATATCTATATATTACATTGAAATATTATAACCTTCGAGTACTGAAGGACGTTGAAGTCAGAAAACTTCGCCTCGCATTGTCCTCATTTTTGGAGGTGCTTCCCTGTCGGTTTACAGTTGGGATTCAGCCCAGCAGCCTGAGTTTCCGGCGCTTTTGAATTTAAAATTTCCATCGATGACGTGCTAAAAATAGTCTTTCACATCCAATAGCGTTTTTTGAAACGATTCGATTTGTTGAGAGATGCAATAATAGCTCAGTAGGAAGACAATGGAGTAATCTTAGAGTGTCAGTTGATAAGTAAGTTCACAGTTTAGTTACAAAATAATTTATTTTTTTGAAAGTTGTTTCGAGCAATAAAATATAGGGGGAGGATAAGCGTCACCAGAACATGTCTTTATAACAATAATCATTCACTTTATCTGTAATCATTTAAAATATTAAGCCAACTCATTTCATGAACGTATGTCGAAAGTGATAAGAAAGATTTGGAATTGAACAAATTTCGCGTCACTTGATTCTTAATTCGTAATATTCATTTTACTGGAAATCTTTTAACAACAAATATTTTTCGTCTTGCGTCTCCAACGTCTTGTAATTATACAATGAATGAAGAGCAGTACAATTCTTCAAAAAAAAGAAGCTATAATTGGCTTACTCCGTTCATCCTGATAATACTAATATATTTGTATAGTAGGAAACGATATATAATATCGCCAGAGTATTTGAATGCATAAAAGTCGGCAATATTGTGTTATTGTGAAGGAGCATGAAAGTTTGTAAAATCGTTAAAAATTAGAAAAACTCAGCTTAAAGACCACCTGATTGAACTGTTCGTCGGCACAATCCAATGAAATGGCCAGTGCATGAGCAGAAGATGACGAATACCAGAATCGCTTAAGACTATCGCAATATTATTAAAAGCTATTGTATCAGCACTCTCATCACTCATTGCTATGCTTAAGCTAATAACATTTCTAGGCTCATATCTTTTATTATCATCCTATAATTACGATCAATATCGGTATTCCTATTTAATCAAAATGTCCACAAAAAGAAGGATTCAGCAGGAAGACAGATTATAAATATTCAATAAAAATATTTGTAAAAACGACAAGAAGGGAAAATAAAACTTCTACATTTAACTAACTCTACAGCAATATACAATTGATGAAGTATGCTTTACACTTACTAATGAGGAAAGTGGAAGTGTCCCTAGACAATTTGTTGTTTTAGAAGCTTCTATATTTATGTACTTAAATATTTTTGCAATGTGATCAATTCGGCTCCAAGGATGGAAGTCGTTTTAGGAGACTTCTTTTCTGTGCATTTACAACTATTTCACTGCCATTTTAACTATTTATTCGATCTGTTACAGTAATTATAACCCACAATATTACTTTTTTATACACTCCTTCATTTTTTTCTTTATTCCATTTCAATCTTTCAAGATTCTCCGCTTCATCATACTTCATTTTCCCAAATATTAGTTAGTGTTTTAAATTTAATTGAAAATTGGGTCAATCACCTTCAATAATAAAGTTAATTCACTTTGTCACTGAATTAATACCCTGTAATAATCCTATTAAGTAACTTACTGTAATATTTGTCGCAAATGTAGACAATCAGTGCTTTTTTTTGCAGCATCTTTTGAATGTAATCGTTTTCCTCAGCAATATTATCGTTTGTATCATGTCGTTGCGAGAGCATCAGTGTAAAATCAACCTGTGCTATCATTTCGTTACTTCAATTAATGGTTTTTTTTTTCAAAAAACACATTAACACATTTAACACAAAATGATATAAAAGTCTAATCTCAGTTCTTAGTTGGTGACCGAATAATAGAGCTAGCTGATGTCGACCTCCGGCACCGGTTTTTTTTTCAGGTTCTTTATTAACTTTGTGAATTTCCTAAAAAAGCAACAAAATGTTTTAAAAAATGATTTTCAAGAACAACTTCTAGTCTTTTACAAAAAATAAAAAGATATATCATATTCAAGTGCATACTATAGGACAGGTTTAGAGATAGAAAGATGAAATTAAAGAAAAGGAATAAACTTGACTCATGGATTTAAGAAAGAAACTACTGAGTCATCACCGGATTTCAGCAAGCTAATACAGTGTTAAAATATTCGTGTCTGCGTCATAGATAATTGGGAAACAGTACGAATTACTTTGTAAAGAACAAGCATTGCAATCAGTGTCGTCCAATAATAAACCACTTACAAAGTCATATTAACATATAGATTGGTGAGAAAGGCAGCGAGACATTCACCATAATAAGTCTTTAGTGAAGTATACTGTATGGAAACTAATAGAACGAATCAAAAAACAAGCTCAAACAATGTAGAGACCTGAAAAAAGCAACCAAAATGATGAATGCTCGATGACTCAATTCAAAAAAAAAGTGGAAAAAAGAAATTAAAATTACTCGGCAGTGGTATTGGACACCAATGATCAGCCAAAAATCATAAATCCAATTCTAAGAGCAGGAATAAGCCAAGAATCGATAATTGTTGAGCTTTTGAGTGACTGCCACTTGATATATGTATGATAGGGTATGACAAAAGGATAAATAACGACCAGCTGTTATCAAGATACAAGGCAAAATGTACAGTCAATGAAAAGCCACATTTCAAATGTTATCCATTCGAGCGTCCAACGGTCGCCTGTATAGAATTTAAAATGAACATGAATAAGGTATCCCACCTCTTTCTGATCAATTTGTGAGTGTTAAAATGGCTAACTAATTTCCACATCTTTCATCCATGGCCCCCTAGAAGCATTCACCTCTATTGCTAGAAAAATAAAACACCGCACTGAATATTTGCGTAATTATTGCAGTAATTTTGACAGAGTTAATCACACATTTTTGGAATATTACATTTAGTGATTTCAGGAATTAAAACGCCGGTTTCAGTTCACGCTAAAACGATGAAGAAACAAACAAAATACTAATATCTGCTAAATTTCTCCAGAGGCCTGTTAGCGTATTTTCTCAGATACTCTCAGCAGAACTATAGAGCTATAAAACTTAAAAATCCAGTTTGCTTTCAACAGGAATGTGACAAAAGATTGTAGAAAAAGTCGTTATTATGTACTTGCCACTTAGCCACAAGACATGAAAATTCATCCTTTCCCAAAAATTTATAAACGAAGATTTAATGACTTGCCTTTCTTCAAGATACCATCTTCAGTATATTTCTATCAAATATCACGAGGTAAAACTAAAATATATAATCAACAACAAAAAACGATTCAGCTGAGGAAAAAAACTGCTCAAGTTTACGTAAAATCATTAATTATGAGTGCATGAGAAGGAGAGAGGGGGATTTTCTGGGTGTCAAATTAAAAAGTTGGGAACTATCCAATGTATTAAAAAGATGATGCGCACGAAATTTTAATTTTAACTATGAGAGAAAAACGGAAACTGATAGGATAAGCGAGAATCTTCCCTAACAACAAAAGATGAATCTGGATTTATTGTTTTCGTAAGTGTCCAGTGCAAGACAAATTAGCTTTTTAATAAAAGTTCTAAACCCTCCCCATAAAATTGTGCCCAATAGCTCATAATCATGAAAACAGTAGTATCAAAACTATTAAAGAAGTCAAGAAAAAGCCATAAACGATCTATAACATCTATATGAAAATTTTTAGATTTGTAACTTCTCCTGAATTAATACATGAAAGAGAATGTTGCCATTTGTTAGCTGTGAAAGGATGGTCAACAAATTTGTTGCTATCTACTACTATCTCAAGAATAATTTTCAAATTACCGCCATCCCGTTCCCAAAGAATTTCGACGATGCCATTCTCAATGGTATGATGGCTTATGGTATGATTCCCGGTAGTTGGATGTTTACAAAATGAAATTGAAATTAATATACTTACTGATATTTCGTTCAAGTTTATAGGTAGCGATAACCAATGCATTGCCAAAAATTGTTTTCTTACTCAATGCAACCACAATAATCCATATATTAACTTAAAATTTTTGGGTCATAGCCAAGCGTTAAATCGACCTTGCGTATGCTTTCTGAGCAATTAACTTGCTTAAATATAAATTTATTATAAGCCTCAATAACCTTCAGTAATTTCAGTCTCAAATTTAGCAAATCGGCTTTTACATTCATCCGCTTATTAAGAATGCCGAGCTGGTCCATTCTAACACTAATTTCTAATAAAAGAAAAATGTATTGTAATTTCAGAAATATTGTAATTAAAGACAAATTAAATGAAAGTTGAAGCGAACTGAGAAAAATATATTACACTAAATAAGCAGTGCCTATACAAACTGAGTCAGAGTAAAGCGATCGAGACGTAAAACATCAAGATGATATGAGAAAATGATATGTATCACAAATTGAATAGATACTGAAACCCTTTGCATCGGGTTTGTTGGAGCAAAAAAAAGCATTTTCATCTTTCCCTCTGTAGTTTGTCTATTTACACTGGTCGGGTCTTTAAAATACAGTTGAAATAAATTGTTAAAACTTTTCCAAAAATGTGCGTCGACGAAAAGCCGAAACGAGATCGCATTAATGAAGCAGAAAATTGAAATAAGCCGAAACAGCAACATCGAATTAATTATTTTCGCCACACAAAAATTTGACTACCGATAGAAATATTCTAAAATAATTAAGAATCAATTCATAATAATTATTTCCTCAATTCATAAGCATTATCGCTTTGAATATATATTTATAGAAAAATAAAGATGTTTTCATCATCTTTCTCACATATATACTGATGCCAATTCCGCGGTGAAGCTGAAAGTGTTATCCATGTAAATCAAATTACTAGGATGTGAAATCTCGAGAAATTAGAACAATTATTGTCTAAAATACGGTCAAATTTCGAATTCGTCAATATCCGAAGTGGAATCTTGATTCTCCTAATATTCTAAGTGATTGACGATAAATTTCAGTAATTGTCACTGTTTTCTAGCTTAATGCCTGGTTATATTACTGCTTGGTACATCGCAAATAATTTCAGAAAAATTTTTTCAGATTCTGATTGAACTATATCAGTTATGAACATTTGTTAACAGTAGAAATATCTGGCACATTCATTTACAAGTTTCTAAATGCATCATAATACTGAATATAGCTCTGTTAGTCACTGTTTTCCCTCACTTTTACACTTTAACCAATATTCGAGAAAATTGGCAACAACAAGTTGAAGAGAGTGATATACCTTAAAGAAAACAATATTGCATAATTCTTCAAGCCTTTTGCTTGTGATGCTCTAAACTTGATTTTGTCCCTTTTTTTGTTAATACTTCAAGAATAACATACATCTATCATTATGATAGAATAATGCTCAAAAGTTTTTTAATACCGAATTTGTGATTGAAATGGGAAGAATTTTTTGAATAATTGGAAAGTTTAACAACAGAATTATTTTTGTTGTTGCTTAATTGGATAAAAAATAAGGGCTTCCTCTTAACGGGAATAGATGCAAAATGCTAAACAGAATACCGATAATTTATCATTCAATTTGCAGTTTTCCTAGAAGCAGAACTCCTAATTCTTGCATTCTCTTTCGGTGATGAGTTCAGCAAAAGGACATTGATGGAGCAACTGTGAGCGATTTCAGATACGAGTGTAACTAACCATAAAATGTTAATTGAGAAGTTAGAGCTTCGATTTATACATAATGCATTTTAAAGCTGGCAACAGCTTATTTAAATGAGTATATGTCGTTAAAACGAGGTGAAGTGAGGAGGGAATGTGATGTAGGAATGATATAAACTAAGTTAGAGATGGTAATTGAAAGCCAGTTTACTGTACATCAAGTTTGCCATCAAAAACTTCAAAAAATAGACAGGAAGTAATTTCGGTTGCTAAGCAAAAAGAAAGAAAAAACATTTAAGCAAATACTTATTTTAAAAAATTGACAAAAAAACTCAAACAATTCCAAGGATTAAATAAAGGAAATAACAATTCTTTTGTCAATGACAAAACTGTTGCTGTTTTTGGCAACTTATTTATTTAACGGTTGAGGGATGTTAGGGAGATGAAGAGATGAAGTTTAGAGCAATTTCTAATTATACGATCGACATGGCATTGAAACAGCTAATATTTTCATATTTCAAGCGAACATTAACGGAATATCGGAACTAAGAGGTGCGAATGGTCGAAATAAATAAGAGAAAGAGAAGCCGATGATGTTTATTGGATCATATTCTAACGAAACTGATTAAATTATTGTGAAAGTTGTTTTCGTTTCCAACATATTGCCACCCCTAACTGCAGCAAACACCCGCATTTTAAGGTCCTTGATCAGAAATAAATATGATGAAACTGGAGACAATAATTCTGTCTAGTTAATCAATCCATACAAATTAACTGCCTTGTACTAAACCACTACTTATCACATAATGGATAGTTTCAGATCGATTACATCTAATACCTCATCTAATATTCCAGATGATCATATACCGAAAGTTTGCCATTTTCAAAATCCAAAAACGATTTGCCGGATCCCCAAATAACCCACAACAGGGAAGACACCTTGAATGACCTACGATAAGGGAAATATTTGTTTAAAATGTATCATATCGGCTCTCTTTCTCTCTCACTGAAAAATCTAACCTGTGTATCAGGTCAAGCACTATTTATACAACCCAGGATTCAATGCAAATTAGTATGGGAACGATGCAAGCCCCTGTCACAGTCCATATATTTACTGGAAAGTATCTCAGTTCGCTCGACCAAAGAGCGGTTTTCAAATAGATCTAACAGCCGCTAAAAAAACTGAGCCATAACATCTTGCATATTGATTGTTTCAGTGTTCAGGAGCGGTTGAAGAATCTACGGAAGATGGACTAGTGGAACCCAAACAACATTTTTTTTTAATGATAAGTCGATGTATAAATTTTTTTTTTTTCTTAGAAAGATCAGTTAATAATTTCATAATATTTTCGAATGTGTAATGCATATAACCTGAAGGATCACCCTCCTCGAAAAAACAAGTGAAGAAAAAACGCGGAATCAAAAACTCCGAGCTATTCCAGAAGTAACTAAAGCGTAAGCGTACATGATTCAACATAAAACTTGAACTAGGAAGAATTCGGAAAACAAGTACTTAAAATGTGGCATAAAAGGAAAAACAAAAAAGGTGATAAACTGATAGCGAAATGTTAGTGGTAACATGACTGAGAAGGAGAGTGAGACAGGGATTAGCAATTTATTCACTGGCTTATCATAGTCCTTGCAATGCATGAGGAAAAAGAGCACAAAATATAATTAATTCTTCAATAAATGTTTTGTATAATTCCTCCCCATTCCACGTTGCCATGTAAAATTGAACCATTCACCTGTAAACTACAACATCAATATCGGCGGACTTTGAAAGCCATGTCGATTTCGTTGGCCAATTATGGATATTTTGGAACATTTATTTTGTCACTATACGGTGCAATCAAATCAGTGTTGTTTTGTAAAATATAACCTCTAAAATACCTCATACTCAAGGAAATAAAGTGATTGAGAACGAGGATTTTTTGAAGTCAAACATAAATGATGTAAAACACAGAGTTTCGCTTGACTTAACTGATTCATCTACAGTTATAACATTTGATATTTTCTGGGTGTCAATGGATCTTGAAACATGATAGCGTGCTGAAGACCAGTATTAAACCTCTGACATAAGGCTAACAATGTACGCTGCCACAATATCCCTTTGCTGATATCTATAAGATTTGCTTAGCCTGACACCACCGCTGATTTTCTGCTCTATCTTCACTGAATTTGTAATACAGCTCAATGCTAGAATAAGAAACACATTGCGACCCACTTACACAAAGGATACTGTAACGATCATCTGTGTGGTGTGCATACATGCTAAAACAACATTTATCGGAATACTGACTTGACTTTCATAACACTGGATAAAAAACGAGACATAATAATAAAAGAGAATTTTAAATCAAGAAAAATAGTTTTAGGTTTGGACTGTTATGTAAGTTGTATAATGCATTTAACCAAGCAGGACAAACTATTCTTTTTGACATCAAATCAAAGAACAGGGAAAATGAGGTGTTTGTGATGAAAAATATTAATGGAAAATTAAACTAATTCACAGATAAAAAAGTTGACAATTCGCATATCATACACTGGATTTATTTGGTCCTGAAAATAATTTTTTTTTTTATCTAATACTTTAATGACAACGCAAAGGATAACAATGATATCCCCACAAATGTTAAATAAAACGTCCTTAAGTAATAAACAATCTTTTTTGAAGTGAATTAGCGGAAAAAATTATACATCTTTCGTCCCGCTGATTTCATTGTATCCTGCAGACTCTTGCGCGAATTGGTCGGAATTTCCGAAGAGGATTCGTTCGCATCCAATTCGCTAGTGCGCAATCGAGAAGTAACGTTCTCCTAAAAACCCATAACATTTAACAAGCAGATCAAACTCCATTTCATTGCAAGAACATTGGACGGAAAGCGCGCTATAGCATCAAATTCCTCTTTATTCATTTTTTGATCACTCATTCCTGATCTTTACCTTTACCTTAGTCGTCTCTTCCGCTTTTTCAACTATTTCCGCGATATTTATTGGAGCGAGCTTTGTTTTGCGGCTTATATCAGCATTACCACAATTTACCTTCTCCTTCACTTTATCACTCATTGCTCTTCCACCACCATTTATGCCAATGTTTTTTTTAGGCTTGGCAGTTGGAACTGTAGATTTTTCTCCTTTCGTTGGAGATGTTTTTGGAGTGATGTCTCTGAAAATATTCTATCCAATACTTCCAAATCGGTATTTTCAATATATATATAGTATAGCATATAAAATTAACAAATGATACTGTAACTGATACTAACATTTAACATAATCATTCAAGTAGCAATACATCAAGAAAGACTCATGCCACTACTATCCTATCAATCTTTCAAATGCCAATA